CCGCCCCAATCAATAGCTTACATAACCAATCAGCATATGCTAATTTTCCATGTTTTAGAATTTGTCTTATATGATTACATGATACTTGTTGCAAGCATGCATGTAGTCACATGTATCTTTCTAGGTTGTTCCTTATTTATTTTTAGTGCACATGTACTCAATTAATGTTGTACTGATCTAACATCATTTCTAGAAATTAAATTTCACAAGAGAATTGTTTCTCTAAGAAGAAAATTTGTCAAGAGAGTGCTTTTTTGGTCATCTTTTCTATGGCTCTTGAGTTAATAAAATTTATTGACTTTGATACACTTATCTTTGTAATGTGACAATAATATAGCCGACAAATAATCTTTCATTCTATTCCTTTTGTAATAAAAGAAACATAAATATTTGATCTTGTTCTTGAGTGGTACCATAGATAAGGAATGGATACTCAAGCTAATGAGCCCATACAAGACTTGCTATTGGACGATATCATAGGGGATCCAATTAGCCTTAAGCTATCCATATTGGAAACCATCACAAAACACTTTTCTGAGGAGCAGATTATTGGAAGTGGCGCATATGGGACAGTTTACAAGGTAATCAAAATATTATTCTAAAAAAGGGTATGTAAAATATCTATTACTATAGTTCTTGATTTTGTAAGTGCGTTGAAGCATTTCAAAACTTATCATATCTAGGTTAACTAATTAATAAGGAAGTTCATGTTACTCATTTCAAGAACGAATCCGATCCATGAATCTAATAATAAATCTTTTTAATTTTTATTTGAGATATTCAAGACTATTTTTCATAGGTAAATATGGTAGTTGTAGCCTATAGGCTACGTCCAGCAAGCCCTTTTGAGTTTCAAATATATGTTTAAAATTCACCAAATTTATATCATTCTTCAATTTTTTTAAACCTACAATTGTCATGACTTTTATGTTCCCAAACTTATGTTTTGAGAGTTTTGGATGGTCAAAGTTCTCACAAGTTTGACAAGATCATGTCCAAAATGTCAAGTAGCTATAACTTGAATGAGTACATCACCACTGGGCCTTTTCTATGTTAGGTATTGGCAACTGTGCTTAAATATTTGAATTGTAAATTCAGCTCTAGTTTATTTAAAGCCAATATAATCTATTCTTACAGGGAAACCACCAAATTGAATGACCAATTCTTTCAGCATTCATAGCTAGATTATTTCTCTTTTGTAGCCATTCAGACATTCATAGCAGCTGCTAGAATGTAAGAGGAAAATATTCCGGATTCGGATTTGGGATCAGCCGAACAAGCCCATGGTATGGACGTTTTGTACTATGATTTAGACAGATGGCCGTGGAATATTATTACATAATAATTTGGTAGGGTGGTTGAAAATACACAGGGAGTGCTTGGAGATGGTTTTGTTGCAGTCAAGAAGTTATACTCACATCATGTAATCGAGGACAAACCATTTGAACGCGAGGTTGATTGTCTGATGAGGATTAGGCACCACAATATAGTCTGGTTTGTTGGATACTGTGCTGAAACACGCGTGGAGGTGGTGCGGCAAGGAGTGAAAAATATTTTTGCTGAAGCAAGAGAAAAGTTGCTTTGCTTCGAGTACTTGCATAATGGAAGCCTTCACAGCTATGTTACTGGTATGATTGTGGAACAATAAACATATATGTGATCTAGATGCTCGGAATGGATTTTTTTTCCTAAGTACTCCATCCTATGTACTTTTAAACACAAATATGCACGTATGATATTATGATGTAAATGCTTTTTAGACTAGATATCTTAAAACATTTTGGTGGTCAAAGTCACAAGTCTCTGACTAGATTTTGTGGAGTAAAATGTCAAAGATTTAAGACTAGAGGGAGTAAATATATGAAGTACACATGTATTTTGCCATGAGCTGCACTGAAACCATAAGTACATATTCACAAAAAAGAAACCATAAGTATATATATTGGTAAGTAGGGTATATTCAAGAGCTATTATTCCCTAAAACTGTACAAATAAAATGGAAAAAATCTTCTACCACACCCAACAACATGGTTTATTCTATTCACGTGAAATTATTTAACTAACTGGTTTTGCCTACACCAGTGCACAAATAGGTAACTTTTGCACACTAGGTCGACATTGGAGCTGGAAAACACTGTAGGGATTCCTTTCATATAATGCATTATATGCTTAAACATTGCTGAACTATAATACGTTTTGGCTTTTCTACTCCATCCATTCCAAACTATAATACGTTTTGGCTTTTCTAGATACATTGCTTTAAATATGTATAGACATAGTGTATATCTAAATACATAGCAAAAACTATGTATCTAAAAAAGCCAAAACGTCTTATAATTTGCAACAGAGGGAGTATTTCTTATCAATGTGTTACTATGGAATTTATTTAAATACTCTTGGGATTTGTAATCCTAAGATGTTTCGGAAACTCATGCAATAATCCGTAAAATTTTAACAAAGAATTCACAGTTATGAAAATTAGAGCATTAATCATATCATTGTGCAAAATTGGAAGAAAAAATTATTTTGTACATTGAAGACAAACAAATGCATAATGGTCTTCTCCGTCCTTTTCTCCAGTGTCCTGATGGTAAGTCATGTGTTCCATGTAAAATCGTCGAGTCCAGTGTCTAGTAAATGAAAACATCTACGTGGTATGCTGTAGACCAATTCCTAGAAAAAAGTTGAGTTATCCACGCTCTCATGATTGGAGTAGCATACGAATATGGTACCAATCTGGCAATCTAGCAAGCCACCTTCTGGCTACCATTTTTATATATAGAGTTAAGTCCTTATAATGTGCATGTAGACAAATTATGTTGAATTTGTATCTCACATGTGCTAAATAACAAGGCTGTGGCAATGTAATCATTTGATACATTCCTGTGAAGTTCCAATATATAAAAAAAATTATGTAATTCCTTTATTGATGATCGATCTGAGGATTTGTCATTCCTTTACTGTTGTTGATGTAATTGAGTGATATTCATTTTTACTTATACAGACAAAACTTGTGGGCTCCAGTGGCAAGTTTGTTACAAAATAATAAAAGGAATTTGTCTGGGTTTGCAATATCTGCATGAGAGGCACATAATTCATCTAGATCTGAAACCAGATAATATATTGCTTGATGATGACATGATTCCAAAAATTTCGGATTTTGGTTTGTCAAAGCTCTTGGATGAAGGAAAAAGCCGAACAATCACTCAAGAAATACTTGGAACACGGTGAGCCAGGCACATAATTTCCCTAAGAGATTCACATTTAATCAGAGATACTATCTGTCCATTTGTTTCTCTCTCTCTGGTGTCATCTCTGTTTTGGGCCCCTGTCATCAATTCGTTGGTGTTCATCCATGCAGGGGATACATAGCGCCTGAGTACTTAGACAATGGAGTGATCACAGTTAAGGCAGACATATACAGCTTGGGTGTGATGATCAGACACATGGTGATGGGACGTAATAATCAGGGAGCTACGACTCTCGATGTATATTGATGGAGGAATATATATACTACTACGTTTATTCCAAATTATAAGTCATTGTGGCTTTTTTTTGACACATAGCTTTTACTATGTATCTTGACATAATATATATCTAGGTGCATAGTAAAACCTATATCTCTAGAAAATCCAAAAAGATTTATATATAACTTGGAATGGGGGAGTACTAATTAACCACACCCTTTACACAAAAACATAGTTTTGACACCATTGTAATATTGTTTTCAACGTTTTCCTAACAATTCGATACATATGTTGCTAACCAGGTACTGAAAAGCTGGAGAATTAGGCTGGAACAGGAACCATCAGAGATAAGGGGGACACCATTGGAAATAGACTAATGGCAAATAGAAGCGTGCATGGAGATATCAGAGAGCTGCACAGAGTTTAAACCAGATAAGAGACCAACCATAGCGGATATCCTCAGTCGGTTTGTGAAAACAGAGGCAAAGGACCAGTCTGTTGTTACAGCTACTCCAGCGCTAGGACGGGTACGTACCTGCAATTATGTGTACGCATCCTTTTGTTCAGTCCACTAAAACACTTGATTTGCATGAGCCCATTGTCAGTGTTTCTAATGAACTGCGCTCACCAATCAATATATACATCGAAAAGCTTGAGGTGATGGAAAGGGCGTTTGTGGACTAAAAGTTATACGTACTACTGATCTTTAGTGTGGCCAAAGAACATTGTTCCTTGTTTGCCAGTAGATTCAAAATAGAGGTTTCTATGACAACAATGACCACACAAAGGATTGATGTACTCAATGTTAGAACTAACTTGGGCACAAAGCGTGAAAACAAATCTGTTCTTAGCCTAGAACATGGTTGGTAACATCAATTGAAAGTGCAAACTGAGTAGATGAACATACCAGAGCTATGTGATGCAATGTATGCCTCTGTGATGGCGTCCATGTACTAACCTTCACCAATCTAAGTAGAATCGCGCTTCCAATGCCACCAGATTCTGGACTGACCGGTTGTACATATATTATATTAGAGTACTAGTCGGATTTAGGGGCTAAACCCCCTACCTCTTATTTATAGCCTTTGTGGGACTAAGGAGAATTCCTAAATGACTTAGGGCTCCTTTGGTTGCTAGGGGCAGAAATGCACGTGGGTTTCGATGCCAAAAGGATTTGCCCCAATGCACATGACACCCCTTTCCTCCCAGGTGATAGAAACCCTGCTGGGGACAAATTCACGAGGATTGTTCGTAAGGCACAAGGTTGCTGCTGATCACATCAAACTAGGTTAAACAGATTGAGTAGTCATAGGTTAATCTAAACAAAAACATGTGCCTATGTCATTGGACTCAGTTGTTGGCTGTGGCTGAGGTCATATTCCAACACCCAAATCCTTCTTTAATGGAGAACCAAACATTTTGGTTATATATGTTGAAACGATTTTGTGTTCCTTTTGTTGCAGATAAGCTCCCTCGCCAAGTTGATGGAGGGCCTGCGGTTGATGGCATCCCAACATCCATCCTTTAGCGGCGATGGGAGTACTAAGGCTACTCGGGCCACCTGTGCTGGCGTCGCCAAACAGATCAAGCTCAGGGGACCCAAGCCCTGATCCTGATAAGGTAGATTAACTTTTTCCCCTGTTTCTAGATGCTTAATAATGAATGTCACAGCCATTACACTGATAGAGCACTTAATTAATTAACTGCCAGAATTTATCCTGTTTTATGGATGCAGATTTCATGGTTTGATTCAAGAAAGAGTGACAAATGCTACATGCTATCATCGAGATCATTACATATTGAACATGTAGATACCCCGGCTACTGGAAATGGATCAACCGCTCGGATTCCAGGTCTAATTTGCATTGCACACCTATATATTTGTAACAATAACGTGCCAACAGTACATGCATGTAAGACCATATACATGCGCACTAACTTACTGTATTTGGACCTGTTTCTCTGTTTATGACAAAAGATTTGCTGAGTGTGCGGAGCCCTAAAGGTCTACTTCTTGGCGGTGATTGGGGAGATTTTAACCGCAGACCTGTCCCCAGGCACGACCTACATGGTTTACCTGGTGTACAAGCTGGCTAGCGACACCGGTGGCCTGAGCGGTGCCCAGACGTCATCGGCCAGGCTCTACGGTGAGAGGACCGTCGCCACCAGCAGCGTCAGTGTGGATCCTGCAGCATGTACAGCTGATGCGGGCGTGGTTCGGCCTGTGGCCAGACACGACGGCTGGATGGAGCTGAAGCTGGCCGAGTTCGCCCCTGATGACAAGCTGCTGCTGAACGAGAGGGCTGTCATAGTGGACTTCCGCGAGGAGAACATTCGCGTGCCGAAGTGGGGACTCATTGTCGAAGGTATGGAGTTCAGGCCCAGGGATTGAAGCTCCCGCCGCCCACTGTGTGTCAAACTATGATTGGACATAGTCTTCGCGAGATCGAACACATTTTGTCCATGTTATTGAGGTGGATCATGACTGCTAATATAATAATGTGGCCTCCTATTGAGGTACGTGGATGTAAGTCTGCAATAATATACTAGCATGATTATATTATTTCGGCTATAATATATGTAACTCCTATTACCGTACCACCATTTGAGACTTATTTGGATAACAACATTATGTTAAGTGTTGCTTGCATGTTTGGTTTCATGTGTAGTTGCTGGTTTGTGATAACCATCAACTATAAGAGGCATTTCATATTGTGGGCAAATTCCACCATAAGGGCTGTTGGGCTACCCAAGCTCCTTCTCTTTTGTGGGCTTGTTCTTGTTCTTCCTTAGGGAGAGTGAGCTAGGTTTTCGGATGAGAAGGGGGTGTTTACTGAAAAAAATCAGCAATTTCTTCTCTATAAAATTAAAAAGCAGGTAGCGCTTTCTCATCCGAACCTTGGTTTCGCCATGCCCCTGAGTAGATGTGGGCACACAATTGCCCCACAAAACTGATCCGTTCTATTCTAAGGTTTTTCCTTTAATTCGATCATTAGAAATATGAACTGATCAGTTAAAAAAATCAAAACAGATCAAATTTGGTTTCCGATAGTTTGGTTCAGTCTCGGTGATGATCGAGATAACTGACCTATTCCAGCTCAGTTTCTCATAAGCAAGAATCACAGAAGCAGTTTTTTAAGAGCAAAGTTTACTTTTCCCAAAAAACACATTCTTACATCATGGTTAATTCGATTCCTGACGAAAATCATCACCACACATCAAACAAATCTGATAAAGCCAAATAAATAAATCATAGCATTAGATATATGATACAAATAGAACAACAAAAACGAATCTAATGTTCACAGCAGAAAAGGGATCGGCATCTGGCAGTCCAGCACCCCATGCATGCATGACGGCATGTAACGATGCCGTGGGGATCCCCATGGGTCACCTATGTCCATACCTGGTAATTACCCATACCCAATTATATATCTAGAATTGAAGAGAGTAGTACTCAACAGGTATAGATAACCCAATGTGTAAAAGAGCTTTGATCAACTGTCAAGCCTCCTTGCTAAAAGATCTTCAGTTCCAGCTCGACTGTTCATCTGAATCCTGGGCAGTCATGAGGCCTTGGATTTTTCAAGCCGATGATGTTGAGCTCCAGCTCCTGCAGCTCGTGCTGGTGCTGGTGCCTCCTCTGTCTTTGCCTGCCGGGTTGCATAATCTTGGAACTGGTACAGACCGGAGGGCGATGGACAGCATGTCCTGGTCCTTCTCCCTCTGGGACTGGGAACCTTCAAACGTTGCCAGACATGCTCCGAATGGTGTAGGCGTTGGGTGTGTGGTTGGGCCATTCATGTTGCATCTCCTGGAACAGGTCGAGCGCCGCGGGTGGTCCCTGTTGCCGGCAGGTGCATAGACGTTAGTGTTCTAGAACATGGGTTTGCAACTGGCCCGACATCTGCAGAGTGAAGGACAAACTGTAGCCACCGCTAGTCAACCATGAGCTGAGACACTCGGGTGCTTGGATGTTGGAGTGTTTGAAGTTCTGACTTAGAACTCCTAGACGGATCCTTGGATGGGACACGACAGTGCTCGATCTGTGTTGGGGAGGAAAATCACTCTGGAGAACATGTGTGAACTAATGATTTGTCCCAGCTAGGCCCATGCGTTGAGTTACCCTCTGAAACGATCCCGATTTCCACCACGGAAAATCCACAGATTCGAAACATAACGTGATAGTCAGTCTCAAATGATCATTCCATCACATTATCAAATAACAGTCAATATCACAGTCATACATCGAATATCTGTCTCAAGAGAGTACAAATAGCAAGGTTTACTCATTACTGCATCGCCACTTGGAGGAATCACTAAGAGCATGCAGCAACGGGAACAACATCAAGTAGAACGGCAGTGGGCATCGACTCCATCTTCACGAACCAAACTAGAGCGTAGAACGAAACCTCTAATCCTCTCAACCATCTCCCTGGAAGTCGTACTCAGACTCGGAACCTGCCAAACAATTATCAGTACGATTTGTACTGGCCACCGGCTCCCACCCTATGTTTTATGTTTGCTTTGTGGTAGTGGAATGCAAGGATACAACAAAAGACCTATTTGTGGTTGTAGTTTCCTATATGAGTATGTCAAGTTTTAGTAATAATTTATCAAGTTTTAACACATCTTATTCACACGTTTACCCATCCCAAGACACATATCTCACCACTCTCACACTCTCTAGGCGACAAGGATGACTCCCTCTCGTGCATTGCCTCATCAGCCAACGCCGGAAACCAACACCAAAAACCAGGGGGGGAGAAGAAAGGACTCCACACAATAATCAAGGAAAGAGTAGGTCATAGGAATGTCCATATCCGAGGACTTAGCTATACGTATAGATCGATCAACTCTGCAGTGCATGTACACCTAGAAATCCACAAGATCACCATCATCGACGCGTGCCCCGCCTAGGCTGATACCGGGTTGTCTTCCAAACTAGTGCGATACCACCCTGCCACTCAGCCCTGGGCCACCCCGGAGTCCACTGGCACGGTGAGACGTAGTACCGGGCCTCCGAAGGTCACTACACTGTCTTAGGAGGGTATGGGTCACACGCCCATACCTCTCTACACTATCCGCTAACAATCCAACAGTAGTGGCACCGCCCTAAGCGGGTTAACATCCGTCCCCCACCCAAACAGGGATGAGTGGTGTGTACGAAGGGTCCTATGATTCGGGTTCTCTTGACATAGCAGTCCTTAGTGGGACCGGACATGATATCTTCTCATGGGGATAACCAACACCCCGTGCCTTGATGACACCTCCATCTTGGGGCTTCATCCCACAAAGACACTCCACCCCGTGATCTCCTCAACTCACATGCACTTGCCACAGGTACCTTTCGTAGGGAATGCCCAGGTCACACACCCCCGGCAAGACTCGTCCAACGACCCGTCGTAAGATCCTGCCGATCGACTCAACCCTCATCACACACCCCAAGACGCATGCCAAGATCTCTCCGGTTGTTACCACATTATTGGCATCAAGTGCCTTAACCACTCACAAATAATCCTCCACCATGCATCACATCACGGATATAATGTGTAGTAGAAGCAGTAGCAAGTAAGTAAGTGAGCATCTAGCCTAACAGCGGGTGTGCAAGGGTATAGGTTGCGACAAGGTAAAGGCTCACAAGCAATCTGCCATGTATCCTATCACAAATCATTTGCATAAAAGTAAAGCACTAGCATCTATATTATAGCATGCCTAATAGGATTCTACGAGGTTGGGTGGGATGTGGCACCTTGCAAATCATCTCCAAGCTCCTCGGTGTAGTCGAGGTCGTACTCCTCAGTCTGCGGCTCCTCCGGGTCTGTCAAACGAGACATATAGCCACGACAAGCGACTTCTATAGATAGTCACAAGGAAGCAATGGAAAATCAAAAGATCCAAATGCACTCAAACACAAGCCTATGACGTAGAGCTCATTTTAGAAAAATTTGGACACTGGTTTCATATTTCTATGAGGTCGGATGAATTTACTATGAATTTTCCAAGTTTAAATCATTTCCTGAAAAAGAAAAAGGGCTAGGTTAATCTGGTGTTGACACACGGTGTGCTGTGATTGGGCGAGGTCGATCCAGTCACTGACAGGTGGGGCAGGTCAGCGGTCAACATTGACTGGTCAATGGTCGATGTTGATTGGGCTTGGACTGGGCTCAGGCGGGCAGTGTTAAGGGCCGAGTTGGGCCGGCCACATGTCAACTAGCTAGGCCAGCCATGTGGCGCGCACGGGCCTCCATTGGGCTGGGTTCACGGGTGCGGCTCACGGTGGACAGCGTGGCCATGGTCCATGGACAACAAACAGGGTCCATGGTGGACCGTATCCACTCCTATTCTCCTCCCTATGGCTCGCGGTGGACCAAACACATGTGGTCCCAGGCGAGGCTTGATGACCACTCCTTCTCCTCTCGCGGTGGCGCTCATGCCGGTGGCGAGCTTGCGCGCCAGCGTGCTACGGTGGCTCGGTGGGGTAGCTAAGGGGGTCTACGGCACCGTGGGGTCACATGGAACTCAATGGTGGGCTAAAGGCGGCGACTTGGGGCTCCAGGCCACCGGCGTAGGCGTCGTGGTGGCTCACGGCGGCATGGGTCAACGGCTAAGGGTACTTGGGACAATGGCATAGCCCCAACGGGGCTCCCATGGCTTCCTAGTGCTCCGATGGACGTAGCTAAGGGGCTAGGCATGACCCTAAGGGCTCTGGCGGGTCTAGCCACGGCAGCGGTGACGCGGCGCCGGCGTGCTGCGATGAGGTCGCTACGTCCTCAATTGGAACCAAAGGTGGCTCCTTTCCTTCGATTGGGGCCATGGGGGAAGTAAAAAGATTCGACAGCACCGACCATAAGGCATGGTGGAGCCCACACCGTGGCAAGGTGTGCGGTGGAGCAACAGCGAGGCCAAGACTATGACGAACTAGGGCAAGGCGAGGGCTTTGAGCTCGACCAACCTCACAGCGAGGTGCGCGGGATCAAGGCAAAGCTCGACGGCCTATCCTTGATGCGCGTTAGGTGGCCGGGGTCGGTCAGGACAACATCGTCACGGCGGTGGCATGAGTGCGCGCACTACACCACAACACCGCTTCACCGTCAGACATCTAACGCTAAAAATTATATTTGGTGATGGATGATCTGACGCTAAAGATAACTCAGAGACCATCTGACGCTAAATCCTCATTTAGCGATTTAGTGTCTGTCGCTATAGGTATTCATATTTAGTGTTGAACCGTCTGTCGCTAAACATATGTATACCGTCCCTTTGTCTGTCGCTAAAAATTAAGTGGGCCCCACCTAGCTCGAGCGCGCCACTTACATTGAGCTCCCGCGCCCAGCTTACATCGACCTCGCGGGCATATTTTAGCCAGCCCCTGTGTACAATGAAAACCCT